AGGGAAAGGAAAGCAGAGGCGGATGCCCTGAACTCAAGAAGGGACCCTTCCCCGAAAACGAGATGAGGGTCCTCTTATAGGAATCGATGCTCCGAAAAAATACATATATATGAATTAAAGCTTATTTTCAGGGGCTGTTTTATATTCATGCCATATTCAGGTTGCTGCATAATGCTGCAAAATACAGTAGTGGAGATTCACGTAACTAGGGCTTATTTCTGGGGTTGGGCTTTTATTAGGAGCATCGTGAAAAATCCTACTAGGGCTTATTTTCAGGTTCCTTTTCAGGAAAACAGGCTATGTTCAATGCAGCTCATTTCCATGGTATTCCAGGTATCTTTCAGCAGACAAATGATGCCAGGTTTCTGCTCCCCCCCCCCCCAGGACTCTAAATGTACAGCTTGATGTCCTTGGCCAAGAGGGCCCATCACACTTGCAGAGATTCCCAAAGGGAACAGCCATCTTTCTAGTCGAAAGGGTCAGCGACCACAGGGGTCCCCAGCAACCCACTCTGCAGCCCAGGTGCCGGTGTGTGGCTTTGCCGGAACCGAGCTGCAGAGATGGATCTCTGCACCCCGCCTGCCCAGTGGACGTATCGCAATCGTGCAGGGAAATGTCACGATCCAGTGGGGCATGTCACGCTTGCAGAGGGCATCACACATGCAGGGGTGTCTCGCTCGTGTGCATGCCACCGCCACCACGCTCTGAGCCCACCCAACCCCAACATGTCTGCAGTCCCACAAAGTTTGGGAACCGCTGAGCTACCAGATGCTGGTTAGGGTCAGCTACCAGGCCACCGGCCCTACCATTAGCCATGAGGAGGTGCCACAAGTGGCAAAGAACAGAAAGCAGTAGCCCAGGGAACTGATAAAAGTAAGGAACGCCATCCAGAAGCTCAGAAGAGCATTTCTCCAGGACAAGGTGCACAAATCATGGCTTTCCCAGTGTTCTCCAGCCATGAATTGGCCTAGCTATGGCTAAGGAATGTGGGTACAGTGGTGCCTCGCTTAACGATTGCCTCGTTAAACGCTGAAACTGCTATACGATGACTGTTTTGCGATCACTTTTGCAATCGCAAAACAATGCTTTAATACGCAAAATTTGCTTTACGATGATCGGTTCCCTGCTTCGGGAACCGATTTTTCGCAAGACAGTGTTTTTTCAACAGCTGATCGGCGGCTTGAAAATGGCCGCCCGCTGCATAAAATGGCTCCCCGCTGTGTTTTTGGACGGATTCCTCACTTTACAGGCACCGAAAATGGGCGCCTCTATTGAGGATCTTCACTGGACTGTGAGTTTTGAGCCCTTTGGAACACATTGAACGCGTTTTCAATGCATTTCAATGGGGTTTTTTATTTCGCTTAACAAGGATTTCGCTTTACAGCAATTTATCTGAAATGGATTATCCTCTTTAAGCGAAGCATCACTGTAGTTACCGTTGTAGTTTTACAACCTCGCATGCTGCCTGGAGTCTGTTTTGCTGGGGTGAACCTTTCAGGGATGAGGTGACTGTGGGTCAATCCATCGCTGGCCAGTCATTCCTTCCCACCTCTGAATTTAGAGACAGCCTCCTCTCTCTGCTAAGTGTTCCCTCTGTTTTGTCTTTTGGAGACTGGTTGTTTGTTTGCTGTTCCCAACTTTAAGTAATAAAACATTTTTAATTTTTCTACTAGCGAAGTTTTGGTATTAACAACAAATGTATATCGAAACAATATTCAACTAACTGAGGACCTCCCAAGTGTTCATTGCCAGTAAACCTCTTTTAAGCAAGACATCAATTCCCTGTGAGTTTTGCACTAGTAATGATGAGAATTTTTTAAAAATGGACCAAGGGTAGATACTATTTTGAAATTTTTAATTTAGAAACATCCAAAAATAAATGCAGAAATACACATGATACTTCAGATATATTACATTATCAATATAACTTTTAACTGTAAACATTAGCTGCTTTAGGAATATTCCTCCCTTTATTGGGATGAAGGCGGGGTATCGGTAAAATGAAGAAACGAATGCAGGAATGTCTCACACTGTGGGGGCTTGTATACTTTTTCTCGAGTGTGAATTCTTTTATGGTTCACAATGTTTGAAGCATGAGCAAAGCATTTGCCACACTCCAGGCATTTGTAAGGTTTTTCTCCTGAGTGCAGTCTCTGATGATACATGAGTTCTGCCTTGCGAACAAAACATTTCTCACACTCTTGGCATTTGAAGGGTTTCTCTCCTGTGTGAATTCTTTTATGTTTCGCTAAGTATGAAGAAGTAGCAAAGCATGTGCCACACTCCAGGCATTTGAAGGGCTTCTCTCCTGTATGAAGTCTTTGATGCATCAAAAGGCTTGAATTCTGAGTAAAGCATTTCCCACACTCTAGGCATTTGTATGGTTTTTCTCCTGAGTGGACTCTCTGATGAGTCCTAAGGTCTGACCTATAAGCAAAACGTTTTCCACACTCCTGGCAATTGTATGGTTTCTCTCCTGTGTGGACACTCTGATGCTTCAGAAGGTTTGCATTCTGAGCAAAACATTTCCCACACTCCTGGCATTTGAACGGTTTCTCTCCTGTATGGATTCTGTGATGCATTAAGAGAGTTGAATTCTGAGCAAAACATTTCCCACACTGCTGACATTGGTACAGTTTCTCTCCCGGATGGTCTCGTAAGGAGTTTGTAAGATGCAACTTGAGATCACTCTTTGGATGCACATGAGTCTTTTTTTCTGCAAAATGCTTCCCACACATAATGCATTCATAGGAGTTTTTGCTGATCTTTCTTTTCTCTTCTCCATCGGATGCCTTATGTCTTGTAATGTCCAACTGGGGCATAAAAGAACTCCTACACTTTCCACATAAATGTGAATTCTTCCAGGTATCTGTGGAGAAGACGAAGAGTTACAGACATAATTGAACTCCAAATGTAAGAAGAAGAAAAAGGAGACTATGAGGCTTGGTATCATCATTCTTCAGGGCAGAAGAATAAGTTATTTATCACTCAAAGTGAATAATTCTATCATTAGACATTTTGTCATTTTATTCTACTATCTATAATTAGAAAATTGAATGAGTGAAGCTGATGCATTATTTAATTTTTAGGCCGCCTGTCTCCTGATGAGGGGAACCAATGTGACGTTTATGCTTTTATTTCATGCAAATTTCATATACAAAAAACTATCATTCCAAAAATTTAATAAATTATAAAAAGTACATTACGAAGAAGATATATTAGGCGCATTGTACATCTAAAGATTATAATTCGTAGCCTTAAACAGTTATAACACTGAGAAATATCAAATATTCTAAATGAATTTAGCTTAGCCAAAATAATTAAATCAGCACGTACATGCATCTTTTGATGTTCTCCTTGTTGCTTTCTTTTGTTCTCTCCCAGACACTCACAATTACATAATTTAATTATTTCATAATCTAACAATACCACTGAGATGCTGTGGAAATATCTGGGCCTGTCGTGGTGGCTCCATGACCGTCTCTCCTGCCCACTTCATGTTGTAAATGTACCAGAAGGGGAGCTGCCATGGTGTTTTCTGGGAGTTGTTGTCTCCTTGTGCTTCAGCCTCTAGAGAGGGTGCCCATGGCCAAAATCCTATTCC